CGTCCGTTCGCCAGACTGCGTCGGACGCGACCGCGGTCGCGCTTCTTTTTCTCCCACCCACCACCCTCGAGGGGGGGTATGGTACCCATGTGCTTCGGCCTGCGCCCTGGCGCGCCAGCCGCCTGTGTCGTTTGACGCGGTGGGCTGGCGTGTCGGCTGTTGGCGCACGGCCGCGGCCTCACCCAACGTTGTTTGGGTGCCGTATTCCCCCCTCTGGGTGGCATCGCGGTCGAACGTCGCCGCGAAGGAGACTTATGATCCGCAATTGCGGGGTGCTACGTTTTGCACGACACATGTTGCACCACATATGTTGCACCCCATAGGCTACACCAAACCGATTGCTCCACAAAAACCGCACAAGATAGGTTGCAAGCCGCACAACATAAATTGCACAATCTACGTTGCACCATTGCATCACAAGGAATGCTCCACCTAAGTTGTGCAACTTATACTGCAACACACGGAGTTGGGTCCACGCTGGCTACCATCGGTTTACAAGTGCGAATGTGTGTGTGACACCAACTGCAAGTATTGAGCACGACAGCTGAACAACTTCACAGTACATGGTGTGAGAAAGTCTCCGAATCAACGTATTGGATGACGACGGCCAGGCCCACTCCGAACATGGCTAAGCACGGCCGAGACAACGGGTGAGAGGCATCCCACGCGAGAGAGGGCTGCCGCGGACTCTGTGCCTGGCCCTGGACGGTGGAGATGGCCACGCGCGGACCCGGCTGCAGGTTCGGCAACACGTGATGCTGAGCGAGAGCGCAGTGAGAACGCCTCCAAGGCAACGGGCGTGCCAAAAGAGAATCGGGTTTGGTTAGCGCGAGCCGAAAGTGTTGCTTCAAGTGGGTCAGACTGCGGAGGACCTGGGTCATCGGGCGTTGAAGTCCGAATCCTGATGATGGTCATCGTAATAGTCGCCACCATCGTCGTCATCGTCAGGGCCATACCCATCACGGTCATCATAATCATCAGCAGCAGCATCATCCTCCTCGTCGTCGTCGGTGTCGTCATCCACAAAAATCATCACCAGCATCATCATCATCATCATCAGCAGCAGCAGCATCACCATCATCATCATCATCATCATCATCATCATCATCATCATCGTCATCAGCAGCAGCAGCATCACCATCATCATCAGCATCAATAGTATCATCATCATCATCATCATCATCATCATCATCATCATCATCATCATCATCATCATCATCATCATCATCATCATCATCATCATCATCATATCATCATCACCAGCATCAGCATCATCACCATCATTCATCAGCATCATCATCGCCATCACCACCGCCACCACCACCATCATCATCATCATAATCAGCATCAGCATCAGCATCATCATCCTCATCATCATCAGCATGGGCATCATCACCATCACCATCAGCAGCATCATCACCAGCATCATCAGCATAATCACCATCATTACCATCAGCATTCACCTCGGCATCGTTATAGGAATCATCATCATAAGCATCGTCGTCATCACCATTAGAAGCATCATCACCTTAATCAACATCATCAGCATCATCCTCATCGTCGTCGTTGTCATCGTCATCAGCAGCATCATCAGAATGGGCATAATCATCAGTAGCATCATCATTATCAGCAGCAGAAGTTGCATCATGGTCATCATCATCATCATCACCATCATCACCAGCATCATCATCAGCATCATCACCATCATTACCATCAGCATTCACCTCGGCATCGTTATAGGAATCATCATCATAAGAATCGTCGTCATCACCATTAGAAGCATCATCACCTTAATCAACATCATCAGCATCATCCTCATCGTCGTCGTCGTCATCGTCATCAGCAGCATCATCAGAATGGGCATAATCATCAGTAGCATCATTATCAGCAGCAGAAGTTGCATCATGGTCATCATCATCATCATCATCATCACCATCATCACCAGCATCATCATCAGCATCATCATCATCATCATGATCGTCATCATCAGCATGATCAACATCGTAATCATCACCACCACCATCATCATCACCACCATCTCCGTCGCCATCGTCATCATCATCCTAATAATCAGCATCAGCATCATCATCGTCATCATCACATACAACATGATCGGCATTATCGTCATAATCATCACCATCATTATTGTTATCGTCATCGTCATCATCATCATCATCATCGTCATCATCATCATCATCATCATCATCACCATGATCAGTATCACCACCACCACCATCATCATCATCGTCATCATCGTCATCAGCATCCAATCAGAATCTCCACATGACAGTCCTGGCCACCGTTACCACGGCCATGAAATCGGCGGACCCCCTGGGCACCGACCCGACTCCCCTGGGTCGTCAGTGCTCGCGACGAGAGGGCGACGAGAGGTGTCAGAGAGACGTGCCAGGGGGGAAAGGGAGCCCAGGCCCCTTTCCCCCTGGACCATGCGGCCGAGATGGCCTGCAGCAAGCCCGTATGAGGAGGATGCACGATGAGGACGCAAGGGCCTTGGGAGGCCGGCTCGAAGCTTTCCGGGCGGGGCGCGGCCAACGAAAGTGGCCAAGGGTGGACCGATGAGCCAAGGATGCAAGGGTACCCTGGGGAAGGTTGCCCCTCCTTGCTATGCGGGTTGACTGTAAGAGGGCCGCCAGGAGATGGCCCAGGAGGGCGCCCGGGCGACCCGAGAAGCGCCGAGGGCCCCCGAAGCAGCGCAGGGAGGCCCTGAGAGGGGCCGCGAGAAAAGAAGAAGAAGCCCCAGGCAGCCTATCATAAATCGCTGGTCTTCCTGTATGTTTGGTGTCCTGGGCTGTTCGGGGGGAGGTGGGCCTCAGACAAAAAAACTTCCCAAGGCGGCTCAAGAACACCCCAAGAGGAGCCCACGAGAGCCCACGAGGCCGCCAAGAGTGTCCCAAGACGACTCCAAGCGAGGCCCCACTAAGACAGCACTGCTCAAGAAGCCCCTCAGACATCCCAGTAGAGATCCACGAAAACCACGATGACAGCCCAAGGCCCCAAGAGGGTACCAAGAAACCTATGAACATCTTGCCATACGCGTCCGTTTCTCCCCCGTCCCCACGTACTCTCATCTTCCCAATCCTGGTTTTCCCACTTCTCGCTATACTCGTCCTCCTCTTCACTCTTCATCCTCCTCTTCCTCCTCATCTTTCTCCTCCTCATCCTCCTTCTCCTCCTCCTCCTCTTCTCATTCGCCCACCTCCTCGCCCTGATCGTCATCCTTGTCCGCCTCAGGCTCACGTTTCTTCATGTCTTCCCTTATACGATCAGCCTCAAGGGCAAAGTATCCTCATTCGTTCTCCCGGTATCCTGTCTCCCCTCATCCTTTCCTCCTCGTCGCTGTAGAGGCCAAACGCAAACCGACAAACGCCCGGGGACTCGATGACCAGTCGCCGCCGCCAGCGTGACCGCCGACGTCAGCACGAACGGCCAGCGGAGACAGCTCCTCTATGGCGCCTTTCATGGCAGAGGCGCCGCCATAAGCAAAGGGGCACGGGCTCGAGCAGTCCACCCCGGGCGGAGCTCGCCGACGCCTTCCCCGGGCTGCTCCTGTTGCTCCGCCGGCTGTCCACTCCTTTCCCCTCCATATTCCCTCCGACCTCTCCTGGTGGCAGCCCAAGAGCTACAGAACAAGACCAAAACCAATGATAACCCCCCGCCCCCCCCCCAAACAAAAAAAAAAACGTGGGGCCGAGACTGGAACACGCACGCGCGGTCCAAGGTCGCAGGAGCAGCGTCTCTCTCGACATCACGCGGGTCGTGGCGGGCAGCAAGAGCTAAAAAACGCCACAGCTCCATGGCCGCCGCTGCGGCAGGGGAAGAATCATGAATCTCTCGCCATCTGGAGCGCTGGTTCCCCCCCCCCTCCCCCTTGAGAGAGGATGGTTCTGGGAGGCGGCGGGGGAAGAATCATAAATCCTTCGCCGCCTGGAGCGCCGGTTCCCCTCCCTCCCCCATTAAGGGAGAATGGGGGGGTACTCCCTGAATAATTCCGGGGCCGGCACTACTGCGCTCTCCCCTCTCGTCCCTGCCCACCTGCCCGTCCACACTCTTTCGGGGAGACGTAAGAGGACTCGGGTACGGGGGACGCGGGTTGGCCTGACGGGGCCATCATAAAAAATGGCGGGGCCCGATCGGACATTTGGCGCGAGCTCCCGCTGCAGACATCCCATGAAAACTGGCCCGTCAAAATCGAGGACGCGCTGGTCAAAAAAAAGTCGGCGAACCCGAGTTCCGGCTTACTCGACTCTTACGTTTCCCCGACTATTCCGTCCCACCTGCTGCTTCCTCCACTCCCCCCCTTCCTCGCCTCGCTTCGCGCGGCTCCTTCTCCACCTCACCCCCCTCCCCTTCCACATGCTCCAGCTCCTCCAACTCTGGAGATCACCGCAACCAACACTAGGAGAGGTGGACCGGGAGGTGGCAGTGGTCTGCGTTTTGGCGCATCGCACAAGAAGCTCCAATTTGCATCGGCTCTGCATTTCCACCTCCTACTCGGAGAATCTCTGTGACGGCTGGATCACCTTACTTGCTGGACGCCTGATCCGGGGCCATGTACACTCGGAAGACTACGAAAAGGCACCTGTGGAGGGAAAGAGCGAAAGCTACATTCGGGACCCAAAAACCGTGTGGAGAAGGGGGGCTGCGCCAGAAATTCCTCAGACTCTGTCCCACTCCCTTTCCCACGCGCGCAAAAAAGGCGGGGCGGAAGCGAGGAGGGAGCGAGGGAGGGAGGAGGAAGCGGGACAGAAGAGGAAGAGGCGGGAGGATGATGAGCAGGACGAGAAGGTCGCGTAGATAAAAGTAGGGGAAGGGGAAGGACCCAAGAGGATCGGGAAGGAGCAGGAAGAGCGAAGAGCCAGAGGAGGCGCAACGAGGGAGGAGCTGGACCAGGGGGAGGAGGAGGAGGAGGAGGAGGAGGAGGAGGAGGAGGAGGAGGAGGAGGAGGAGGAGGAGGAGGAGGGAGGAGGAAAGTCGACTCG